TGGAGCAGCAAATATTAAAATCAACCCACATCATAAGATCTTGAGTGCCTTATTAGATATCAAATTGTAACTAATTTAGGATGTGACATATACTTTGAATATATATTTCATTGCTTTTAAGAAAGTAATTAAGTTGTTGTGAGTTCTATTATAATGAGTCTACAAAAACATGCATGTTAAATACACAAGAAATAAAGAACAGTCACCTAGGGAGTCATTCAATGTCCAGCTATTTCTTCTGGCTCTACTCAAGTTTATGAAGTCAAAACACAGAAAGAAGATGAAAAAATGGGGCAGGTATTTGAAGGGTTCTACAGCACTCTATGAAAATCTGCATTCTGCATTAAAGCCACAGCCAGAGGATATCCTGTGTTCACCAGGTGCCACTGTCAGATATCCTTGCTGCTTTGCAAAGTACCATCCAAGGGACCCTGTTCCAGGTTATAGGCGATCACGATGGTGGAAAAACCCTGTGAGGAGGAAGATTTCTTTTGGAAAATAGGTTTAGAGTTTCTTCTTGTACCATACATCCTTAATTTACACATTTTCTTTTGTTAATTTTTCTTATGGAGAGGAAACATTGTTAATGTTCAGATAAATTGGAGCATTCATGGATTCCTGATACTTCAAAAGATATGAGGATGTCATCTCCCTTTCATAGGATATATGGTAGCTATGACAGAGAAAGAAATTTGCTATGCTTATTGTTCTATTTATTTAGGTCTAGTAAGTGCAAAATAAAAGGAAGGAAATTTTAACCACCACCTCCCCCCCCTGCAAATATATAGGATTTTAGGTAACAGCTTGATGAATTGAGGTCCTCATGTGTCTGAATTGGATCAATTAAAATGAAAAATAATGTACTGGGAATTTTTCTTTAAATTTTTCATGAGCTATCCTGGCATGATGGTACACTCCTATAATCCTAGCAAACCAGAAAGCTGAGGCAGGAGGATACTGAGTTTTAGCCCTTAGTTGGAAGACATTTTCTATTACTTATCTTTGTACAGAACTGAGTATAAAGAGCAGTAATCATCGGACTCTGTCAACCTTCTGAACTAGGGGAATACAAAAACTGTATCGTATGCTGTTGGCATAAGAGGTCCTGTTATATCTCCCTTTCTCATGGATGAGTATGTCCCGGTGAGATGTCATGGGGCTTTTAACTCTCCCCAAACACCAATTTAACATAAGACCCATTAGTCTGAATTTTTAAAAGGGGGGGTTAATAATTAGTGGGTAATACAGAAGGGATTTCAGACAGTGGAAATTAATCATCTTGATGTCTTTTCTATGAAGCACTTTCAGTCTATAAATAACGTCCCTCATAACACTTCAAAGGAAATAAGTAGTAAATAAATAAGAACAATTCCATGCTTGAACTAAAAATTTAGTAAAGACAATGCTCTTTCTTCTCTTCTCCACCATTTTTTTTTATTATTTACTATTCTGCACCAGGGCGCCATTCCACAGTTACTAAGTACACAAAGCACAGCTCCCTGCAAAACTAATGGGAAAAACAGGCTTTATAAAACCGACAGAAAAGGAACTCCCTAGCTTTCATTTCATTTTATTATGTTCACCTTGCACAAAATTCATGTGGACCTCTTGCCTTTGTCCAAGGCTGAAAGAAAATACTTGTAACAGGAGTTACTTCTCTTCTCAGATTCCAGATCCCTCATCCATCTGACACAATCAGTTCAGCAACCTCCACATGACGGAGAGCCCCAATTTTCTAGTGCACCTTGCAGAATGAGCCCACCTCTTGCTTTAACTCTAAGGTACAATGGTGTCCCAGCCTGTGCATTATCCATGCAGATGGATGCTGGACTTCTCCAAAGAACCCTAGCAAAGGGACTCCATGTCCCTTGATGAGTTCATACATTACAATATGCTTTGTTGAACACCATTTAAAATAAAAACAACCAAATTGCAGTTTGGAATCAACACAGTTCAAGTTGTAAGGAAATAATTATTGACATAAACTTATGTTCAGTGGGAAAACAAAAAAGAACAAGTAATATTTATATTAGTATTTTATTTTGTAACATTTCATAGTGTCTCCCTGTGTATCTGGAAAATAAAAAGACACCTTATTCTAAGTAAGGTATTGATAATGGTAATTTATGAGTGCCTGGATATAGCTACTAACATAATATATTACAGTAATTAAATTTAGCCACTTGTTTATGTTCTTCAAAAATACAATTACTTATCAACTAATATAGTTATGGAAAAAGGCACCAATATTCACCAAGATTTCAGACTCTCAAGAGTAGTCTCTTTTATTAGGTTGTTGTCATGAAAAGAACATGAAAATTATACAGGGCTTTCAATTTAAGTCCTCTTTCCCAATTTTATGTATTCATTTAGTTATAAAATATATTGATGTTATACATTGCAAAACATCCTATGCATGTATACATTTATAAAGATATGCAATTTCAGAAGGATATGTGTCTTGCATTACTGACTGAACAGTTTGAAAGAAATAAAAATACAGACCCATGTCTTAAATATTTGATTCTTCTCTAGTCTCAAATGGTATATTTGCCATTCATAAAGTATGTTATTTATCAGGACTTCTCAATGGGCTTCCTGATACAATGTACTTTACCAAAAACAGAGTAGATATATTGATAGCTATAAAAATGTAGGCATACTCCTAATTTAAAATTGTTTTCAGCTGCCTATCATTTACATAAATTCACACTGATTTTTCCTTTAAAGATTTTGGCTTAATAATTTTACATATTTTAAAGAATTATTTTGTTTTTGTTATATTTTTATTTGAAGGAAATGATAAAGATATCAGAGATTCCAAGAAAAGACCTTGGAGGTTAGAGTGAGACAGACCCAGGACTGATCTGTCACTTACTTGTTAGCTGAGTGACAATACTCAGGTCTCAATTTCTTTCCTCTCCTATCAAGGTTTGACATAAGCAGTACAAGTTTACATCTATGTCTCTCCTGGGAATTTATATTTATCCCTGGTGTTGCTCAAGAGACTCTGTGGTCATCTGAGCCAGCCATCAGGAACCAGCTTCCCAGCTGTCCCAAGAAGATGTGCTGTTCACAGCATCATGTACTGAAACACAGACCCCAGGCTCCCTGTCCTGTGCTCTTCAGAGCCTGCTTAGCCAGGTGACCAGGCTCTAGCTGCAGGTTCCCCTTTGTGCCATGTTTGTAGATCTCTCCCAGCCACCAGAGGGCTTCCGCTTCCCTGATTCTGCCCTCACTTCCAGTTATTCCTGAGGAGAGGTTTCTCCATTGCTCATCAAACTGGCTGCACCATTCTGGTGCTCAGGCAGATGCCTGAAACTGCACTATGATCTAAGCCCCAAATCCCATATTCTCAAGAAGTGACTTTAGTTAATTAATCCAAGAGTGCTTCTTCCATGCTATCCTGTGTAGCTCCATCACAAGGGCCATGGCTAGAATGGCACAATGAGAAACAAAGGAATCGATCTCTTTCCACTGTGATGAATCAGGCCTTTCTGCTGCATATTCTGGAAAAGTAAGTAATCTCCCTCAACTTGGGGATGCCATTATTGTCCTCAGTATTGAAAGCTCACATTAGCTTAAGCCTTGTTACATTACTGATCTCTGTGGACAATTTTTTTTTAATGAAAATCCATCCCACTCTATGAAATAGCATTATGGCTTCAACCTACAACCCAGCCTTTACTTTCACTCTCAGATGGCTTTTTGTTTTAATTCATCCTACCTACCATTGTTTTTGCTTATTCTTGGATTGAACCTTTTATTTTTACTCTCCAGCCACACTTTCTTGAGGTGCCTGCTACAGCAGCCACCTTAGCCAACATCCCAGCATTCATAGCTCCAGTTCCCATCCATGGTCCTTGGAGCAGGCTTCCCTCAGAATGTAGCTGTGCAACTACAAAGCAAGAGGTTTCAGACCCTGTATACTCCTGAGAAAATGTTTTATGAATCAGAAATTAATTTAGTTAGTATTTGCAAACCATTTACAAATGATTTTTGAAGAAGTCATTGTGCTTGGTAGCATCTTAGAATAGTCAATTGCACAGATAGCACCTCTGTGGAGAATGAAACAAAAGTAATTCAAGAGGAATGAATGGTTTCTGTATATCATTTTCCCGCACTGCACATAATCTTAACTAAAAACAATCTATAGTAAGCTTATATTTGTTTCATACATATTCACTCTTAATGTAGGCTAGGCTTGATACGATGATAAAGAAGTGAGAGATTAATGAATAAGATTTAATGAACAATCATTATAGAGTGATAGAAAATATATATACAAGCTAAAATAAGATAAGAGACTATGTGAGCATCTTCAGAGTATATCTAAGGTTCTAATGAGATTTAGAGTACAAATTACCTTTTGAAACTGAAGAGAAACTCATGAAAAACTAGGCAGGGGTAAAATTTGAGGAAAGTTTTTTAGAATGAGTAGGTTTGTATAGGTCAGTTACAATGTGTATGTATTTACATGGGAATCAAAATCAATTGATGATGAAACTGTGAATTGCACTTATTTTCTTTCATCAAAAGGGATTCTGATATGTCAATGATTTATCCATTGCTGAGAGTGCTTTTTAAAAATATTTGGAAAAGGAATGAAAAAGTGTAAGAATATGGGTTGTGGAAGACAAAGTGAAGGGTGAATCTTCCTCTGACATAAATATTAAAAGTGTCAACTCTCAAAAACTAAAGAAATGTATATCATACAAGTAATGTGAGAGAGCTGAGCTGAACCTGTGCCTCTGGGACTCTTCTGGGGTCAGGAATTCACTACCCACAGATTTGGGAAACACCCATATTAAATAAACTTTTTAAAAAACAGAACATTGTTGAAATTGCTTGGCCCATTTCTTGCATTAAGATAGCCTCTTTTGGTAAATTATTTTTCTGAAGGCATTTTTGACATCCTTGTTCCTTAGACTGTAAATGAGGGGGTTCAGCATGGGTATAATCAATGTGTAGAACACGGAGGTAACTCTGTCAATAGCCATTGAATGGCCTACACTGGGCCGCAAGTAAATGAAGATCAGAGTGCCATGGTAAATAGTGACCACGGTCAGGTGCGAAGCACAGGTGGAGAATCCTTTCCTTCTTCCTTCTGCTGAACCTGTCTTAAGGATCGCTGCTATAATACAGACATAAGATAGGAGAACTGTTAGAAGACAAATAGCTTCCACCAAACTAGCAAACACCACCAGAATGATGTCGTGCACATATGTGTCAGTGCAGGACAGAGAGAAAAGAGGGGTAATATCACAAAAGAAATGGTTGATTTCCGTGGAGCAGAAGGCTAGAAGGAAAGTATTAGTGGTGTGAATTATTGAGCTCATAGTGCCACCCAAAAATGCTCCAAGTGCAAGCTGGCAACAAACTCTTTTGGACATAATAACAGTATAAAGCATGGGGTTACAGATTGCTATATATCTGTCATAAGCCATGGCAGCCAAGAGAAAAGATTCAGTGTCAACCATAAAGCAGAAAAAATATAACTGTGCAGCACAGCCATTGTAAGAAATGGTCTTCTCATCAAAAATCAAGTTCACAAGTAATTTGGGGGCAATGACAGAGGAGTAGCAGGCATCAACTAAGGAGAGCATGAGGAGGAAAAAGTACATTGGGGTGTGCAAGGGGGAGCTGATTGTGATTAATAAAATCATCCCAAGATTCCCCATCAGGGTGACAGAGTAAATGGAAAAGAACATAGCAAAGAGCAGATGCTGAATTTCTGGATGGTCACTAAATCCCACAAGAAGGAACTCGGCAGTCATAGTGCCATTCTCCAAACTCAACATCTGCAGTGCTTCTGGGTGTGTGGAGTGGTGACGGAAGGACAGAAGTGGGCACAATAGCTGGACACCAACCAAAGAAAAGAAGAAAGAAAAAAGTTCAAATAATAGAACAGGGATTCTAAATCCAGTTAGTGTAGTTTAAGACACACTTCCTCATTTTTAAAATTACATCAGGAATTTACCACCTGCCTTTTTTAAACTATTATTTTCAACACGGAACAGCACTGTCGTCAACCAAATTGCACAAATTAAAGCTGCAATTCCACTTTAAATTCTTTAATTCTCCCACTCATCATCCATGTCAATTTATAGTGGATACTCACCTTGGTGTAGCAAACTCTGGATTCAGAGCCCCCGTCCCCCTTTGTGCTATTGTGTGTGGATTTCTGAAATGGAGAAAAGCATCGCTGGTCAGGGTAAAGATTTGTGCATGGAGTAGATCTGTGTTTTACACTTTGAGCTGTGGCTTCCCCTGAGGGGACCCAGGGAATTCTTTCAAGTGATCCAAAGTCCACTGATAAATTAGAAAGAACAGAGGTTCAGAATGAGTTATCTAAATAACTATCTCCTAGGTGTCAACCACACCAGCTAGGAAATTTGGCTCCTGACCAAGTTACAGCTTCAAACATTAAAAAATATTCAAAATTCATCTTTCTTATTAAATACAAGAGTGAAATGAATCTCCTCCCTCCCTCAGTATACTTCCTGTCACACTCCTTAACTGATAATAAATGGCAATGTAACAATTCTCCATTAATCCAGGTACATATTTTGTTTTTAATCTGGAGTCTAAGCTATTGAATAAAAATTTGTCATGCTTGCAAATTTATTATACCCAAACTAGATATACATAGTAAATGTAGAATATTTCCATGTCCTCCATAGTGGAAAATTGTAAAAGAGTAGAAAAAAACAATTAAATAAGCTTACCTACTCATCTCTCTAAATTAGTTCTACCTTTCATTCCCCTTGTTTAGTTTGCTACTGTATAAAGTACAGATAACCATTTCCAATCCAAAT